GATGGTGGCCTTTCTGGTAAACCATAATAATAACCTGCCTACTTCCACACGGTTGAACTCGCTAAACTGGGCATCAACTGAGAAAGGCGATAATCGGAGATGTCGAGTAAGTAACTTTGATCGGAATGAAAGTGAAGCGACGGCTAGAACTACCGAATTACGGTTGGATCTGACGAGACCTTCTTCCAAACCGTCCAGAGGCATAGCACTTCAGAAGTGCTGTGCTTCCAAGCCTCTGCCTCAAATTAACGTCAGGAACTAATGGGATGACTTTTTTTTTCACGTAGAAATTGGAGGTAGAAAGAAAATTCAACCAATTCGAGGGTAACTAGTAGTTATTCATCGATATGATTAAATGTTAAAAGGTTGTCATAGCGTGGCCAGATACACTACCTTTTTCTCAATCCCATAAAATGTGCTCCAAAGTTCAAGGATCAGATCGGTCCCGAAAATGATCCCAGCATGTGATGAGACCATTCGCAATACAAACACTCCATCACGACNAGCTGTTTCTGAAACAAAGTGGTCATGAGATCATCTACAGGAACAAAAAAGACGTCAGCACAGTTGGTTCGTTTAACTGGCTCTTAGCTGATCAGTTTATAGGAAAAGTGGTTGCAATAGTGCATCCTCAAAAACTTGGTCGTTACAAAGTGGCTTACTTATGCATTTGTTTAAAAGCTTTTTTCATCAGTCGAAAAGAATTTAAAGGGAAATCTCTTGACACGGGAACATGTTTCAGTGCAAGGCACTAATATACGCCGTGCATTCCTTTCTCATTTAGAATGATGAAAGCTAATAGGAACTCATAAGTTTTCTTTTCGGCTTAGCCCACATCCTGTATAGACCTTATTCATGCTACCCTGCTACCACAGACAATGGAAGCTCGATTACCAAAATGGTATTCCATCCCTATAAGCTATGAATGGGGCATGAGATGATAGAAATCTCTGAAAGTTCCATCCTTTTCGTTACATTATTATACTCAAAAGTATAAAATCGAAAATCTTGGGGGAAATCGATGAGAGATAGAAACTCACGTAATGAATCAGTTTCAAATCCATCCAAAGTGCTCAGCTCGAGATGCTGCTCGATGAACCATCTAGAGAAACAGGGGAAAAGCAATAAAATGAACCATGAGATGAACGTGAACGCAGCAGCAGCGAACAGCATCAAATACCTGAATATAGAACAATAAATTCTATGGAGAACAGGCAGGGGTTCGCTTTTGTATCACAAGGAACGAAAACAATGGCAAGGACAATTTCTATTCGAGAGAAATTATCAATTTATGGTATATGCCTTTTCATCTTGAAGAGGGGGGAGAAATTATGCCTCTCCTTCCTCTTTTTCATCTACTCGTTGTGATGTGCCAGGACGTTTTCTCTACTTCAAAGGAGTTATCAGGCTGTTGGTTCTCCCTATTCCAGAGACCGAGACATAATGGCGCTACTCCCAACCCACTCCCCGTCCAGCCCTTACTTGGGGCGTGAGGATGTTGACCACCACCCTACCTTCGTTCAGTCTCATATGAAGATTGATCCCACGGGACGGCTGCTGGCAAAGATTAGGATACATATTTATAAGAAGATCCTGATTAATCAATGGTGATCCAAACAAGTTGTTAATCATACCAAAACCACAAAATGATGAAAATTTTTTCATTGAAGATGTTGATGACCAGAACGCATTGCACCGAATATTTCTGGATGTTCGCCACTTGTCGGACCTGAAATA